AGAGGATGCAGAGGACAGAGTGAGGACAGAGGATGCAGAGGACAGAGAGAGGACAGAGGATGCAGAGGACAGAGAGAGGACAGAGGATGCAGAGGACAGAGAGAGGACAGAGGATGCACGCTGAGCATCGTCAGGCCTCTGAGGGCCACCTCATGTGTCACTGGAAATGGTTTAGTTGCGTTCTGTCGGTGCGTCAGGGAGGATGGACATCTGTCTCCTTGTTGTCTCTGTGAAAACTGCTGGAGCTTCAGACTCTGCGGAGCTGCTGGAGTGGAACTTCCTTGTTCTCCTCATCAGACTTTATGAGAGAGATGCAGAGAACTCAAGACAGAGATCGAAGCAGAACTAATATTTAGACTTTTTCTACACCCAGAGGTTACCCAAGACCCCGCGCCCCCAAACACAGTACATGACCATAGTAAAAGTACATGGTATAGTGTTTCTAATGAACATTATTCTGAAGGAATAGACGAGTTTTGAAGAACTTTTCTCACGTTAAAGTTTTGAGGTTTGTCAGATATATTTAAATAAATTAGAACACAACACAGGAAGTCCTTTGAAGAGTATAAATGAACTTAAAATCATTCTTTAATTTGCCCGACAGATTTCTGTCCTAAAATGATTGTTTCACTCAAAGGGATTATATTTACAGGATTTCATCTCTTGCAGTCATTAATGCTCGTTATTTTCATATTTTGATATATCTATCATTCATTCAGCACATGCAGCTCTCAGTATGTTTCTAAATAGCATCAAGTTTTTTTCTTTCATTTTTGCAGACGATGAACTTTAATCTGTTTCTCTTGGTTGTCTGCCGGACGACTCGAGGCGAGACCCGGTGGTCCGAGAGGAGAACAGACATCGCACATGTCAAGCCCTGCTCGTTAAAGATTACAGTCACGCCATTGGGTTCAGATTTTCATGGATTTCTGTAAATCTGTGGTTAATTTGTGTCGTGTGGAGAGGCAGAAAACACAGAATCCACTTCCTGTCTGTTGGTGGAGAAATGAATTCAACCTGCCTCTGCTGCCTTTTAGTTCTATCCAACCATGAGATCCTGCTCACAGCAGGGACGGGTGAAACACAAGTGGGGATGGGATTATTAATTTGTAATAATCTCAGCGTCATAGACCCACATCAGTTAAACGTGTGGGTTCTGCAGAACAGCTGCTGTTCTACGTTTTATTGAATAATGGAAACATTCTGTTGAAACTTCTTGTTGCAATCGAAGCGTTTCCTGATGATCTGTACCGAGGTGGAGGCGTCAATCTGCTGCTAACGCTAAAGAAAAGGCAGAGACGCTCTGTCCTGCGCTTTGGTCCATCAAGTGACTCGTTGTTGTTTTAGGAGCTGTCTTCTGTTCCTAACCTGCACGGCGGATCACATCCTGACACACAGCGACTTGTTTTCCGTTCGTCTCGTGACGGTTAAACCTGACCTTCCCGTCGGCGTGCCTCGACACGTCGGCTGCTCATGTTCGGATCGGCTGTTTGGGAACAAACGTTTTATTACCTCAGATTCTTAGACATGGTGAAATGTGAGTTGTTGGAACGGTTCTGAAAGCTCACGAAACGCTCGGTGGCGTCAGACTCTTAGATCGTGTTTTCACTACTTGAAGCCAATGTTTATTTCTGGCCAGATGATCTGAGCGCAGCTTCTTGAGCCCAAAACGAGCGATGTTCCTCCATCCAGCCTTTCTGTACGTTCGTTCCTGTTTCTGACGAGTCCCGCCACGTGCGCAGGACTTGAACCCTGATGGCAGTTCTGACGTGTCCCCCTTCCTGTCCTCCAGGCCCTGGCCATGCCCTCGAATGCTCGGGCAGGAAATCTGAAGGACCCGGACGTGGCAGATCTCTTCTGCAAAGATGATCCGGAGAAGCTGTTTGCCGACCTGCGTGAGATCGGCCACGGCAGCTTCGGAGCCGTGTACTTTGTAAGTAAGACGTGCACGTGTGTTTGCTCTCTGACAGCAAGGTTTGCCGTGTCCCGAGGGTTTCTACTGTCAACCTGTGATCCAACACCTGATCAGGTGATCCATGGAGCGGCCCGAAGAACGTCTGCTTGTTGTTGGAGGGCGGAGTCTGTCACTTATCTGTCTGACAGGAGGGGAGGAGCCAGGAATGCATATCGCCCGCCGCCTTGCACATTCATATCACCTTTTTGGAATGACTTTCAGCTACTACCACACCGATTGTTGTCTTAAAAATGACAAGTTCTAGTTGATTTGTCTTTACTTCAGTGTTATCAGGGAATAAAACGCTGCAAAATCAAGTTTATCTCAATTTAAAATGTAAACTGATTTATTGGCTTATTTTAAAGTTTTCTGTTTCAGATGACTTCAAACCCAACTCTTTATAAGCAGAGTTAAATTCTGTGTTTTTTAAACTTTATTATGAATTCATGCTGTTCTTGATTGATTTAAGAGCTTTCTTTACGAGCATTTATTTATGAATTAAGATGTTTAAGTTTGTGAAACATATTTTGTTTTATTGCTTCTATCAAACAGGTTGAAGTTAAAAAAACCCCGATCAGATGAAGAAACAACGTGCATCATTTTGATAGATTGTTCTGAAGGTCCTGTTGACATACAGTGAGGAAAATAAGTATTTGAGCACCCTGCGACTTTGCAAGTTCTTCCACTTAGAAATCATGGAGGGGTCTGAAATTTTCATCTTAGGTGCATGTCTGCTGTGAGAGACATGATCTAAAAAAAAAAAAAAAGGGAAATCACAATGTATGATTTTTTAAATAATTTGTGTGTTACTGCTGCTAATAAGTATTTGAACACCTGCCAATCAGCAACAGTTCTGGCCCTCAAAGACCCGTTAATCCGCCTCTAAAAAGTCCACCTCCACTTATTATTCTAAATTGGAAGCACCTGTTTGAGGTCGTCAGCTGCATAAAGACACCGGTCCACCCCACACAATCAGTAAGACTCCCAACTACTAACATGGCTAAGACCAAAGAGCTGTCCAAAGACACCAGAGACAAAACTGTAGACCTCCACAAGGCTGGAAAGGGCTACGGGCAACTGCCAAGCAGCTTGGTGAAAAAAGATCAACTGTTGGAGCAACTATTAGAAAATGGAAGAAGCTAAACATGACTGTCAATCTCCCTCGGACTGGGGCTCCATGCAAGATCTCACCTCGTGGCGTATCAAGGATCCTAAGAAAGGTGAGGAATCAGCCCAGAACTGCACGGGAGGAGCTGGTCCATGACCTGAAGAGAGCTGGCACCACTGTTTCCATGGTTACTGTGGGTGATGCACTAAGACGTCATGGTTTAAAATCATGCATGGCACGGAAGGTTCCCCTGCTTAAATCAGAACACGTCCAGGCCCGTCTGAAGTTAGACCATGACCATTTGATGATCCAGAGGAGTCATGGGAGAAAGTTATGTGGTCAGATGAGACCAAATTAGAACTTTTTGATCTTAATTCCACTCGCTGTGTTTGGAGGACGAAGAATGATGAGTACCATCCCAAAAACACCGTCCCTACTGTGAAGCATGGGGGTGGAAGCTTCATGCTTTAAGGCTGTTTTTCTGCACATGGGACAGGACGACTGCACTGTATTAAGGAGAGGATGACCGGGACCATGTATTGTGAGATTTTGGGGAAAAACCTCCTGCCCTCAGTTAAAGCATTGAAGATGGGTCGAGGCTGGGTCTTCCAACATGACAATGACCCGAAGCACAGCCAGGAGAACCAAGGAGTGGCTCCGTAAGAAGCAGATCAAGGTTCTGGAGTGGTCTAGCCAGTTTCCAGACCTAAACCCTATAGAAAATCTTTGGATGGAGCTCAAACTCCGTGTTTCTCAGCGACAGCCCAGAAACCTGGCTGATCTAGAGAAGATCTGTGGAGGAATGGGACAACATCTCTGCTGCAGTAAACCTGGTGGAAAACTACAGGAAACCTTTGACCTCTGTAACTGCAAACAAAGACTACTGTACCAAATATTAACATTGATTTTCACAGGTCTTCAAATACTTATTTGCAGCAGTAACACACAAATTATTTTAAAAATCATACATTGTGATTTCTGGATTTATTTATTAATTTACTTATTTATTTTTAGATCATGTCTCTCACAGTGTACATGCACCTAAGATGAACATTCAGACTCCTCCATGATTTCTAAGTGGGAGAACTTGCAAAGTCGCAGGATGTTCAAATACTTATTTTCCTCACTGTCAATGTCTACTTTTTGTGTCCCAACTCGTCTCCCAGTCAAAGGAGACGGTCCAATTTGTCCTGTCCATAATGGACGTTTACAGTTCAAGGCGTCCACATCTTGTTTTCTGGTTCTGATGTGTTTTGGTGGTGCAGCGCCACCTACAGGTTACTGCTGCGTTCACACTGGAGGATAAAACTTTCCATCATCGGTGTGTGGGCGGAGCCTAAAGCTACTTCAGGTCATCTGGGTAGTTTTCTTATTTCATGTCCACATGTTGTCTGAGCTGCTGACGCCTCGGCAATAAGCAGCAATCGTCTGTGTGGGTTCTCACAACTCGCCCTCATTTGCATATTGTCATAAACAGAACGTGTGAAGATCTTCTCCTCTTTAGGAAAGAGTGGGAGGACAGCAAGCAGGTCACACCCACACTGTTGCTGCCGAGGGTTTGAGCCCCAGCGTGTACTTGAAAAGCCCACAGGATCTTACCTAGAACCAGCTGCAGAACCACACCTAGAACCAGCTGCAGAACCACACCAAGGACCAGTTGCAGAACCACACCAACAAACAGTTGCAGAACCTTACCTAGAACCAGCTGTAGAACCACACCAAGAACCAGTTGCAGAACCACACCAAGGACCAGTTGCAGAACCACACCAAGGACCAGTTGCAGAACCACACCAAGGTTTTTAGTCAGTGAACAAATGAGTCGGGATTGATTAATCGTGTGTGTGTGTGTGCGTGAGAGAGAGAGTTTACATCTCCATCTGATTATCTGGAATTCAAGATGGCTGCCTCAGCCCAGACATGACAGAACTGCTGCATCTTGCGGAGCTGACGTGTGGTGGTAGTTGAGTCGTCCCGACTCTTTGCGGTTCTTCAGGGTTCACTCCGTCCTGAGTTTAAAGTCCTCGTTGTTTCATCATGAACAGATAAAAACATTTCTCGTGTTTTCAGTCTGAAGTAAAAACATGAAAGATGTTTCTGACGTTTAACCCTTTAAATTCAAACGGCGGGCATTAAAGTTGGGATTAAGGTCTCGATTGTTTTCCCTCAAACAGCTAACCGGGTTACGGCCAGCTTTCAACTGTAAGCTGATTTCTTCAACACGAAGAGAACAAATGCTGCTGCTTTAATCGGCTTCACAGGAACCGGGTTTCTCTTCTTACACAGATCCAGACCACATCAAATCCTGCAGGTTCAGAAGAAGCACTGAAACAAACGCGACCTCTTGTTATCACCAATAAACCGACGTAGCTGTCGGGGACTTTCACAATAAAACCAAACCATCAATTAGAAGACCTCCACAATAAAAGAAACCTTTTCATCCTAAGTGGATGGTTTTTGCTTGAACAAAGCGAACAGAAATAATTTCTTAAAGGATCTGACACGACGTTTGATTTGTGACTAAATGTTGAAAACGTGTTTTTATGTTCGAGGGATCGTCACAGAGCAGCTGCTGATGTTTGGGTCTGAATGATTCCTTGGTAGTTGTGACAACGGAGCAGAGAGTTTAACGACACGCCGACGACCACCTGATTTCCTCTGAAGGATGTCGACTCCATGTTTACCTGTCAGCAGTCTGAAACTCTCTCCTCGTGTTTGTAGATTTTCTAAGATGCCTCCAGAGAAATGACTCGGACTCAGGGCACGTTTCTGACGCCTGCCTGTGAACATGTTTTCACTCCAATCATAATTTGTGTTTCTTCAGACCTCTTGGTGCGTCTTGAGCAGACGATGGCTGAAGAAATCCTTTTCTGCATCAGCTGGAACTTTCAGAGGAACCTGAAGTGTGTTAGTGCTGGATTTTAACCTCAGGGTTTGTTTACAGGCTCGTGACGTGCACAGCAATGAAGTGGTGGCCATCAAGAAAATGTCGTACAGTGGGAAACAGACAAACGAGGTAACGCACCACCACCCCACTTCCCCAAGTCTTACTCGGTGCTCTTCACAGCAACATGAAGAAAAAAATATAAGAGGTTTCTATGTTTTGAAGTGGGTTTCTGTGTACAAGTTATAAATAGTTAATATCTTACCTGCCGTAGGTAGTTTATTGATCCCTGAACTGATGAGCTAACGGTTTGTCTGAACGAGACGAAAGATGGCTACTGTCTTGAAACGACCAGTAACCAAATCCATCCATCCGTCATCTTGTTCTGGACTCGGGTATCAGAGGCAGCATCTTGAGCAGGGAGGTCCAGACATCTCTTTCCACAGCCAGCTCTTCCAGATCTTCTGGGAGAACTCCAAGGTGTTCCCAGGCCAACAGAGAAATGTAGTCTCTCCAGCGTGTCCTGGGTCTTCCCCGGGGTCTCCTCTCAGTCGGACTTGCCCCAAAGCGCCTCCAGGGGGAGGCGCCCAGAAAGTATCCTGGCAGCATGATGGCTTAGTGGTTAGCACTGTTGCCTTACAGCAAGAAGGTCCTGGGTTCAATCCCCGGTTGGACCTGGGGTCTTTCTGTGTGGAGTTTCCATGTTCTTCTCGTGTTTGCGTGGGTTTTCTCCGGGTACTCCGGTTTCCTCCAACAGATCAAAAGCATTCATGTTAAACTGCCTTCAGGCCCAGGCCTCCCTTGCAAAAGAGATCTGTGATCTCAGTGGGATTTAACTGGTTAAATAAAGGTTAATAAATAAATAAAAAATCCTTACCAGAGTTCATGACCAGAGGTGAGGGGAGGAACCTAGACCAACCGGTAAACGGAGAGCTTTGCCTTACAGCTCAGCTCTCTTACGGACTGGTGCAGAGTCCACGATACTGCAGATGTTGCACTAATCCATCTGTCAATCTCGCGCTCCATTTTTCCCTCACTCGTGAACAAAACCCAGAGATACTTGAACTCCTCCACTTGAGGCAGAACCTCACCCTTGACCGTAAGATTATAATGAGGACCATGGCCTCAGATTTGGAGGTGCTGATTCTCATCCCAGCGGCTTCACACACTGCGAACTGCTCCAGTGAGAGCTGAAGATCACGGCACGATGACTCCAACAGGACCACATCATCTACAAAGAGCAGAGATGGAATCCCGAGGCTACCGAACCAGACTCCCTCCGCCCCTGGCTGCACCGAGAAATTCTGTCCATAAAAGTTATGAACAGAATCGGTGACAACGAGCAGCCCTGGTGGGGTCCAACTTACTACCTTTACTATAGGGACTGAACAGCCCGTAACAATGGGCCCCCAATCCCATATTCATGGAGCACCCCCCACAGTGTACCCTGAGGAACACGGTCAAATGTCTTTTCCAAGTCCACAAAACACATGTAGACTGGATGGGCAAACTCCCATGACCCTTCGAGGATCTTAGTGAGGGTAAAGAGCTGATCCAGTGTTCCACAGCCAGAACTGAACCTGCATTGTTCCTCCTGGATCTGAGGTTTGACCAACGGTCAGAGACTCTTCTCCAGTACCCCTGAATAGACCTTACAGGGAGGCTGAGGAGAGTGATGTTCCTGTAACTGTTGGTTTGTCCAGTTAATCGGGCTCGCAAAGGTCTAGGTCGGGAGCTCGCCTTTTATGCTGCAGCCATAATGGGGTTCCTGGAAGTCCTCCACCAAATGCTTCTCTAATTTATATCAGCATCAGCTTCTCATTCACTGTTTGTTTTTAAGAGTCGTGTTATTTTGTGGTGCTAGCAGCAGTCTGTAGCACTTCCAGGGGACAGTGCGGTAGGCAGGGCGCTTGGTTCTGTTGACAGGGCGGGGCGCCCTCCTTGGATAATGGCAGGGGAAACACTGGTCTTAGAATTAAATTCCAACCTGAGATTGTTCCAACAAGCTATCTGCTACAGGTAAGATATTAATTAGAACCTCACTCAAAAAGGGCCAAACTATCCCTTTAAAATATTAGACTGTTTACTTTTTAATTTAATGTTGGTATGAGTGCTTTTTGAAGCTGCACCTGTGAGATGTTTGGTGCAGACAGGAAGTTGTGTGCACAGCTTCCTGTTTCAGGGTGGTCTGTTTGGTCATGTGCAGAAGTGGCAGGACATCATCAAAGAGGTGAAGTTCCTGCAGAGACTTCGACACCCCAACACCATCGAGTACCGAGGCTGCTACCTGAAGGAGCACACGGCATGGGTACGTCCTGTTTTTCCACGTTCAGCTCGTCTGCAGCTGTGCGCAACACAAACTAATCCAGCCTTCAGCCATGACCCTGCTCTGTTTGTCCCTCAGCTGGTGATGGAGTACTGCCTCGGCTCTGCCTCAGACCTTCTCGAAGGTTTGCTTCTCGCTCCATTTTCACGCTTCTCTCTCTCCTTTCTGCTTTTCTGACTCAGTTTGTTTTTTCTGCCGTCAGTTCACAAAAAGCCCCTCCAGGAGGTGGAAATAGCTGCTATTACCCATGGTGCACTGCAGGGATTAGCTTACCTTCACTCCCACAACATGATCCACAGGTAAAGTGTGGCCTTCTCACTCTCTGACCTTTAATGTTCCAGCTGACCCCCCTCCCCCCATCTCTGTGACGCCCTGAAGTGAACAGTCATGGTCAAAGTTATTTATTGTCATTTGCATCACATGTGGTACATGAGGCAGAACGAAACTGTACACAGGATCCCAGTTACATCCAACAATAAAATGTAAAATAAAAACAGTAATAAGATCTAAGATATGAACTAAGAAATACACTAAACACTAATGGTACAAAACAACACGCTGAACAACAGCAGCACGAACATGAGTCTGTGTGAACAGATGAGTACGGAGCAATTCTCTCCTGTGGGGGTGGGGGGTGCTCCTGTTGTGTCAGTATTTATGGAGGTTGTAGTGTCAGATCCCGTTAATTCACTTGGTTGGTTTGAGCCCGACATGTCGTGGGCCTTTGATCAAACACGTTAAGCCACCGTCTCACTGCGCTGCAGCTGATGGACCTGAGAGAACCTGTGGATCCTGTTTTCCTCCAGCGGGTCGTGCAGCCTTTGTTTTGTGCGCTCAGTCGTTGAAAATGTGCACAGCTTGTCAGTCAAACTGCATCTTTGTCTTCACTAAAAGTTGAAGCTTTGAACCTCTCTGAAGCAAATGAATAACTCCTGGGAACGTTTGGAGACTCAGACGAGTCCAGCCTGGTGAGGTTCTGACCTCAGGGTTAGCTGTAGACCTGGTCCTTCCTCTGGAGTCATGAGACGTTAATCATGAAGCCAGCTGTGTGTTGTTAGATGAAGGGAAGCAGCTGAGATGCCGACCTGACGTCTTGTTTCTTCTCTGCAGGGACGTGAAAGCAGGAAACATTCTGCTGACGGAGCCCGGTCAGGTCAAACTGGGAGACTTCGGCTCAGCCTCCATCGTGTCTCCGGCCAACTCGTTCGTGGGGACGCCCTACTGGTGAGCTGGGACTTCCTGTTTGTGATGCGCAACGTTCCACTCAGGACGGTTTATCCAACAGTCCAAACAAAAGACCAAGAAGAAGAAAAGCTCCGGCAGACGTATTTTCTGTTGTCATTCTCCTGCTGCTGCTTCCTGAACGCCGCCCGCAGGCTCCGGGTCTGGCTGCACCTGAGGAAGAAGAACTTGTTCCAGTCTGAACCTGAGACCTGAACACAGATCCATCTAAAACTACTCTCTGTTGGCAAAATATTTCTTCATCTAGTTGACAAAATTAAATGAAACTCAGTGGATGTTTATCTACACTTGGCTAACTTGTGAGGTCAACATCATTCAAGATGGCCGCCACATGTGACTAGAGTTGCATTCGGGCCAAAAAATCCGATCCGACCCGGCCCCAGCCCGCAGTCATCATTTCAGAACCCCACCTGACCCGACGAGTTAACAGTAATTACAGGTCTGAACCCGGGAAAACCTCCAACATTTTTAATTAGTTATTAACGGTCGGGGACGTGCAGATGAATAAACGGGGCAGAAGATCAGAGCTGAGAGGTGTTTGTCCTTTCATGGTTGTAAAAGCACATTAAACCCTGTTTCTGCTGCGTTCCGATTTATTCACACACGGACCCTGCTCTCACACGTCTGCAGGATCTCACCACCTGTTTGGGTCATCGGCCGCGCGCGTCCGTTGAGTGCAGCGGCTGAATGAACGTCCATTTGGGTGATGGATCTCTGCCTGGCAGTACAGTCCCATCTGAAGATTAACTGAACTTTTTAACTCTTTCAGGGCCGGTCAGCTGCAGTGAAATGGCCGTGTGCGGCTGGTAGATTTATGGCAGGCCATGTTGTCATATAATTGGATTGTGGTTGATCCTGATCCAATTAAAAGCTCGACACCGACCCGGCCCACCCATCCAGCACATTATCATGGCTTGGCCCACCCTGAATTTGAGTCGGGTGGGGCCGGGCTTAGGGCTCGGGTTAGAAATGACAGCTCTATATGTGACTGAACTTACTAAACACAAATGTGGTTATAAGTCAGCTGTACAGATGTTGAGCAGGTGTGGTAGTAGCTGAAAGTGATCCACATCACATATTTAACAACTTGATAGTTTGCCACAGAACTCGGGTCTGACGTGTTCTGGTCTTTAACTCGGGGACTCGACGTCACAGATAGTCCAACGGGTCAACTGTTAACTAATGATGGTTCTGGTTCATTATGAGTCGGTTTGTGTTAGTCCATTCAGCAGAGTAACCATGAGTGATGGAGGTGGTTGTCATGACAACCTGTGGGCTTCAGTCGGTGTTGAACAGGAAGTCTACCATGTGGTCTTTGATTCTTGATCTACAACAAGCTGCACGTCTCTCAGGAGCTGTGCTGCCACTCATGTGTGTCTTATACACAATTGTGCCCTGTAGACCGGAAGTTACTGTAATGATGGTTCTGGTGGACAGTCGGATCAAACGGGTCAGCTGTTAACTCATGATGGTTCTGGTTCTGACCTGTGTCTCCAGGATGGCTCCGGAGGTGATTTTAGCCATGGATGAGGGTCAGTACGATGGGAAAGTGGACGTGTGGTCTCTGGGCATCACCTGCATCGAGCTGGGTACGACACCCCCCCCCCCCCCCCCCCCCCCCCCCCCCGACTCAGGTGCTTCACATGCTGAGCTCCTCAACATCTGCATGTTCTTGTTCCACAGCTGAGAGGAAGCCCCCGCTGTTCAACATGAACGCCATGAGTGCCTTATACCAGATCGCCCAGAACGAGAGTCCTGTCCTGCAGTCCAACCACTGGTGAGAGACACCCCCCCCCCTCACCCACCCCCCAAAAAAAAGATCTCTGCAGATCTTCTCCTGGACGATCAGAGGAGCTGTAGTTCTCGTCCTCCTCAGCTGCAGCTCAGAAGATCAGAACATTGTGAAAAGCTGAGGCAGCCTCTGAAGGAGTCCAAAACCTGAGCAGCTGAACCTCCTGGTTCAGCTCCTGGTCTCAGGGACCCATGTCCTCCTGACCCTGTGTGTGTTTTAGGTCCGACTCGTTCTGCAGCTTCGTGGACTCGTGTCTGCAGAAGATCCCTCAGGACCGGCCCACGTCAGACGTGCTGCTCAACGTGAGCGCTCAGCTTCTCAGAATCCCTCGGTCGGGTTTTGTCTTGGCACCGGTCTCACCTGTTGTCTCCTCCCCCTTCCTGTAGCACCGCTTCCTGTGCCGCGAGCGTCCGCAGACGGTCGTCATGGACCTGATCGCACGGACCAAAGATGCCGTGAGGGAACTGGACAACCTGCAGTACCGCAAGATGAAGAAGATCCTGTTCCAGGAGAGCCAGCAGAACGGACCCGTGTCCGAGGGGGGTGATGACGAAGAGGTGAGGACGATGATTTACAACACCACCTTCACTTATTCTGTTCACAACATAAACAGGAAGTAGTTTTTAAAAACTTGTTAAAGGATTAAAGACTTTGAGCGGGTTCTACAGGAAAGGTTCTTGTTTCAGCTGAGAATGTCTAGGCCAGGCCACTTTGGGCGCCCCTGGCCTAGACGTTCTAATCAGACTGTTGCTAAGCAACAAGCCTTTCAAAGGGATTAAAGGAGAAGTTAGGCCATTTTGAATTGAGTTCCCATTGTAAACGATGAGTATCTTACCTGTGCTGGATGGCTTGTTATAAAACAAGTTTTAAATAACTCTTTCCACGTCGTCGGTTTTCATTCAGGATTATTTGCTCAGAAATATTTAAATATTTATATGTGGGTAAATAATATTTCTTGATTTATGTTTGAACACGAGCCGCAGGAACCAGCTGGCACTGTGCAAAAGTCTTGATCATCTCTTACCTTCTGAAGGTCTTGGCTACTTTTTTCACTTGGTTAATTTTCAGTCATGTCTATTTAAATTTAACCCACAAAACGTCTGACGTTTCAAGGACTGAAGGAACGAACAGACCAGTCGAGGGGTTTCCATGTTTTCATTGACTCCAACTGGCTCAACTGACGTTTGACCTGACGCAAAACTCAAATGAACTCGTTCTGCTTGATTTCTGTTGTAAAGTAAAAGTCAGTGCTGATGGCTCAGAGCTGGAAGCTGCTGTCTGATTAACGGCGAGTTCTGATTGTCAGGAGGCGGAGCCGTACTTGCTGCAGACAGGAACCATCAACAGCATGGAGAGCTCGCAGTCCGTCCCCAGCATGTCCATCTCTGCCAGCTCTCAGAGCAGCTCTGTCAACAGCCTGGCTGACGGCTCCGACGACAGCAGCACCGAGATGGCCATGATGCAGGAGGGGGAGCACACCGTCGCCTCCAACAGCTCCATCATCCACCGGCCCACGGTAAGCACCACCACCACCCGTTAACCTCAGAGACTGAAAACCCTCGTCTGACCCCTCCGTCCTCCTCAGGGTCAGGACAACATCTACGATGACCCGTACCAACCAGAGATGGAGCCTCAGGTTCCATCAGCTGGACGCCGGCGAGCCTTCTACCGCAATCGAGACCACTTCGCCACCATCCGCACCGCCTCTCTGGTGAGCTCCTCCGGACCGGAGCATGGCTAAAATCAGGCTCTTAACGATTAAAACAGCCGAACTAGGATGGAGGAGAGCCAGAATCAGTCTTCAGCTGAACACAGCAGCAGCTTCATCACATTTAATACAGGACGGAAACTAAAACTCCTAAAGTTCCCAAGAGTTTTTCTTCAATCACTGAACTTTACTGTGACGTGGCTGACATGTAGCTGAGACTCGTCTCATTTCTGAAGTAGTTTCTGCTCTTTCCTGCAGATAAATAATCCAGATTTAAGATCCAGATTGGGCGGCAGTGGCTGAGCGGTTAGAGCAGTCGTCCTCCGATGCAAGAGTTGGGTGTTCAATTCCAGCAGTCACATGCTGAAGTGTCCCTGGACAAGACACTTGAACCCCTCATTGCTTCTGATGTGTGTCCCATCAGTGTCTGAATGTGATAAAGCTCTGATTAGTCTTTGTACAGATTTAGTAGAGTGATGTATGAATGGGTAAAGAGCTTTGAGTATCTTGATAAGATATAAAGGAGCTGTATAAGTACAGTCCATTTACCATTTAAGTGTGTGAGACCAGGGTCTGGGTCTGAAGGTTTCTGCCCTGGAACAAAAAGCTGATTTTAACTGTCACTTGTGTTTCTTGACATCTGTGGATGAAAACAACTCAGTAGGTTTTGTGTTGTTACGCTTGTCTATCATCAGACCCGGTTGGATCGGGTCAGCAGGTGGTTCTGTTAATGACAGCAGCTCAAAGCGAGCCGGTACTCTCTGGTCTGCTACAGGTGACCCGTCAGATCCAGGAACACGAGCAGGGCTCGGCGCTGAGAGAGCAGATGTCAGGTTACAAACGGATGAGGCGACAGCACCAGAAGCAGCTGATGGGTCTGGAGAACAAGCTGAAGGCTGAGATGGACGAACATCAGCTGAAACTGGACAAGGAGCTGGAGAACCAGAGGAACAACTTCTCCATGGAGGCTGATAAGTTGTCCAAGAAGCACCTGGCCATCATGGAAAAGGAGGTGAGTCTCCGAAGGATCAGACTTGACAAAAGTCAAAGGTCAAGTGTCCTTCTTATTATATCTTAGGACCTTCTGTGTTAAACACATGAAGCTCTTCTGAGGACAGCTGGAAACGGGTGGAAGGCCCTTCCTGGTCAGGGGGGCGGAGTCAAAAGTCAAACCCTGATCAGCGGTCAGCTGGTTTCTTTTAATATTGTCTTAAAAATAATTTGGCCTATTTTTCAGATTAAGTCAAAATCTTCCAACCCAAACATGGGACTGGAGAAACCGTAGTCTGGATTATTTTTACCTCCATCAAACGTTCTCCTCTTCAAAGAGTCTGTCCTCTGTGTGAACTCAGCTCTGTTCTGTTTTATATAAATGACTCTTCCTCTCAGCACGTAGCTGCAGGAGGAAGCAGATCCACACATCTTCAGTGATAATTTTAACATTGTCATGAAAGCGGTTCTTTTGGGTCCGGTTTCCAGCTCCGTGGTAAATGTCCTGCCACAAGATCTCATTAGATCTAATGTAACGGTGCTGCTCAGTGGTTCCAGGTTGAGGTTTACTTCACCTGCCTCCTGTGTTTGTGTCGTCTGCAGACTAAAGCTGCTCTGGCAGAAGAGAGGAAGTTCCAGCAGCAGATCTTGGGTCAGCAGAAGAAAGAACTGAACTGTTTGCTGGACTCCCAGAAGCGGCAGTATCGCCTGCGCAAGGAGCAGCTGAAAGAGGTAAAGCTCCCTCTGACTCGTCGTTTGGGTGAGCACAGGACGATGCTTCAGCTTCAATGTTCTGTTTCGTCCTCACAACAGGAGCTGAACGAGAACCAGTCGACTCCGAAGCGGGAGAAGCAGGAATGGTTGATCCGTCAGAAGGAGTGTCTGCAGCAGATGCAGGCGGAGGAGGAGGCCAGCCTGCTGAGGAGGCAGAGGCAGTACTACGAGCTGCAGTGTCGTCAGTACAAGAGGAAGATGCTGCTGGCTCACCACAACCTGGAGCAAGACCTGCTCAGAGAGGTACGGCCCAGAACTGCTGGTCCTGCTCTCAGGATGGATCTTCAGTCTTCATGGAGTTGTGTTTTGGTGATTTCCAGGTCTGGGAGTGAACTGTTTTATTTAAATGTTATCTATAAATAAATAAAAAAACATCACAACATTTTCCATTTAAGTTTCAGCACCAGGGTGGACAACTTCCAGAACCTGACATGGGGCTCAGACGGTTGTTTGTTGTTGGAAACTCTGTTTTTACTGTTTGTCTCAGCAACACAAGGTCATCTAAAGACGTGACCCAGTTAGCTGCAGCTGGGTTCAGCCTGATGAACCTCTGAATTATTCGTATTTTCTCCATGTGTTCTGATTTTTAACGAACTCAACACATCTGCAGCATTTGTTAGAGATGATCTCATGGGTTTCTGTCAGGAGCTGAACAAGAAGCAGACGCAGAAGGACCTGGAGTGCGCCATGCTGCTGCGCCACCACGAGTCCACCCAGGAGCTGGAGTTCAGACAGCTCAGCATAGTGCAACGAACCCGGGCCGAACTGATCCGAACACAGCACCAGACAGAACTCACCAACCAGATGGAGTACAACAAGCGGCGCGAGCACGAGCTGCGACAGAAGCACACTGTGGAGGTCCGCCAGCAGCCCAAGAGCCTCAAGGTACATCAGAACCCGCAGAGCCTGCAGGAGCTTCTGGATCTGGACTGAAACCATCTGTCACACATCAATCAATCAATTCATTCATATATTTACTGCTCTTTGGTGATTTTTCCTCTTCATGTTTTAGTCCAAAGAGCTGCTGATCAAACGTCAGTTCCAGGAAACCTGCAAGATCCAGACCCGTCAGTACAAAGCCCTGAGGAACCATCTGCTGGAGAACACGCCCAAATCCGACCACAAGACCGTCCTCAAACGCCTCAAAGATGAGCAGACCCGTAAACTGGCCATCTTGGCCGAGCAGTACGACCACTCCATCAATGACATGTTGTCCACGCAGGCAGTCAGCAAGGTGAGGACACACCAATGGCATGCAAAGCACATGCAAGCGACACAAAACACGCCAACAACACGCAAAACCCATGCCAACAACACGCGAAACATTCCAACAATGCGCAAAACACACAGCAGCAACATGCCAACAACACACAAAATATACACCAACAACATGCAAAAGATGCCAACGACACGCCAACAACACAAAACATAGACAGCAACATGCAAAACCCATGCCTTTGACACACAACACACGCCAACAACACACCAACAACACAGAAAACCCATGCCAACAACATGCCAACGACATGTCAACAACTGAACGATAGGAAACGCCTTGTAATTGTGACTTTCTTTGCCTCCATTGATTACGGTGACATTATTTACATGAACGCTCCTACAAGCACCCTGCAGATGTTGGATGCTGTCTATCACGGTGCATTAAGATTCATAACTGGCTGTAACTACCGTACCCACCACTGCACCCTGTATTCACTGGTTAACTGGACATCATTAACTTCACGCAGACTCTCTCACTGGTACATTTTCATCTTTAAATCACTTCTTGGTCTGTTCCCTTCATACATCTCCTACATGTCTCTGTGTGAGTGCAGCTACAGCGTGCGCTCTCAGGACATTATTACCTGCAGTGTTCCCTCAGTGCGGACTGAACTTGACAAAAGGAACTTCTCCTACTTTGCTCCTGTTTCCTAGAATATCTTGTAAAAAGATCTGAAGCTCTCGACCTTCACCTGGCTTCAAACATTTGTTAAATTCCTGCAAAAACTAACGCAGACATGTTCCTGGTTTTAGTTTTTTACACTGCCTTATAATCTATCTGTTTTTTTGCTACGTTTCCTTTTCATTTTCATTTTGTTTTCAATTGTAAAAAAAAAATTGTATGCATTTTTTATGATTGTCCACTGCTGTCATCATTCCAACATTTTTCAGTCGGGTCATCTGGACAGTTTTTTTTTTTTTGTGTGCTGAAACGTTTCACCTTCAATCCAGAAGGCTTCGTCAGTCAAGGAAACACAACAAAACTGATTCTTTCCCCAACAGCTTACTCCAAAGTGGAACAAACCAGTTATGTTGGTGCTAAGATGGTCTCTTTGGTACGCCCCCTCCTCCATTGCCGGCCCTCTTCCTTGTTGACAGTCGTATCAAACTGGTTGAAAACATCATCACTCTTTGTTAAGAATTCAGGTCTCTCTTGTAAATGAGTCCCCGAGACTCAATGGAATTAACATGTTTAAATTAAGGTTGAATGAATGAAAAAAACACGCAAAACACGTCAACAACATGCCAAGATACGCCAACAGCACACAAAACATGCCAGCTTGCAAAACACGCCAACAACACACACAAATACATGCCAAGAACATGCCAACGACATGCAATTGGGGAGTGGTGGTGCAGAGGTTAGAAGATGGGCTTGTGATCGGAAAGTCGCAGGTTCACCTCCCGGTACCGTCAACATCAAAATGTGGGTGGAAAAGGTGAAACACCCACACCTCCCTCCACCCTCATTTGCACTTCTCTGGGCCCTTGAGCAAGGCCCTTACCCCCCACCATCTGCTCCCTAAGCAGGTCTCCATTGAAAATGAGTTCTCGTGGCTCAATGAGACTACCGGAATAAATAAAGGGAAAAGAAACAAAAAACAATTCAATTAATACAATTTCAATTCAGTTTATTTCTACAGCACCAAGTCACAACAGAAGTTGTCTCAGGACACTGAACAGAAACATTCATATACGAAAATAATAATTTAACATTATTTATCTGAGGAGCAGACTGCTTTGAGTTTAACTCCATCACAGAACTCTCATCTTGAGCAAACATGAAGGCGACAGTGGAAAGGAAAAACTCCCTCATGAGGAAAAAACCTTTAGCAGAACCAGGCTCAGGACAAGCGTCATCTGCTTTGACCGGCTGGGTTTGGAAGGAACAGATACACAATGGCAGGTCAAGAATCACATAAGATAAAAATAGTATCAAATGAAAACTATTCAATTTTAGCAATTCATTTAAGGAAATGAGGTCAATTTGTCCTCTAGTAGTCGAAACCTATAGCAGCATAACAATCCAACCCTAACTATAGGATTTATCAAAAAGAAAAGTCTTAAGCCCAGTCTTTAAACTGGACAATGTGTCAGCCTCAAGGACTGAAACTGGAAGTTGGTTCCACCAGAGAGGAGCCTGATAACTGAAAGATCTTCCTCCCATTCTGCTTTTGGAAACTCTAGGAACCGCCAGGATGCCTGCAGTCTGAGAGTGAAGTGCTCTGTTTGAAAAATATGGAACAATAAGATCTGTAGTATAAGAAACACGTCAACGACACACAAAGCACATGCCAACAACACACTAACTACAGACAGACAGGTGACCTGTTCATGCAGGCCGTGGAGAGGTGAGGACTTGAACACCCGGTCTCCCGCTGCAGAGAAACATGTTCTCCATGATGAGACGTTCAGGGTACAGCTTCAGTGTAGGACACATGAAATGTCGCACTGATATTCATTCTTGATTTTTTTTTTGTGTGTGTGTGATTTTGATAAAACAATTCAACTTGAATTCTTCTCATGATGAAGAAGTAAAGTTTGTTTCTGCGTTTCAGGAACTGGGCGTTTTGTTTTTGTGCAGCTTTTGTGCTTGTTCCAAACATTTCATGAGTTTCTCCTTCAAACTTACTGATCAGGAAGTTTGCAGGAAAACCAGTAAAATGGTCCAAAGTGTCACCAAGCTGAGCATCTTTTGTGTTTCAGATCCGGTTGGACGAGACCCAGGAGACGGAGTACCAGGTTCTGCACATGCAACTGCAGCAGGAGCTGGAGCTGCTCAACGCCTACCAGAGTAAGATCAAGATCCACACGGACACGCAGCACGAGCGGGAGGTGAAGGAGCTGGAGCAGAGGGTGTCCATCCGCCGAGCGCTGCTGGAGCAGAGGGTACGACTCAGACCCGGCTCAGAACCCAGCAGAACCTTCTCGTCTCTGACGGTGTGAATGTTTGTGTCCATCAGATCGAGGAGGAGATGCTCTCCGTTCAGACGGAGCGCTCCGACCGGATCCGGACGCTCCTGGAGCGCCAGGCTCACGAGATCGAGGCCTTCGACTCGGAGAGCATGCGTCTGGGCTTCAGCAACATGGCGCTGACCGGGATCTCGGCCGAGGCCTACAACCAGGGCTACCCGACCCCCAGCCCCTCCTCCGGCGCCGGTGGGTGGCCGTCACGGCCCGTCCCGCGCTCTGGCAGCCACTGGAGCCACAGCGTGCAAAACTCTGTGGCCACGCCCTCCTGGCGCAGTCAGAACCACGGCGAGCTGATGAAGAGCGGCAGGGGTCACCCCCCCTCCTCCTCCCACCTCCAGCAGCACCACCAGCACCACCAGAGCACGCCACAGCTGTACCGCGACGAGCGCGACCTGCGGGAGCGTGCCCGTGAGTGGGTGGGAGGGGGGGGACACTACTCCCACCACCCCCAGAGCCTCCACCTTGTCTCCACCCACTCCTCCTCTCATTCCATGGCTCTCCTGCCCCCGCCATCCCAGCCCCCTCCCATCTCGCTGTCCTCCTCCTCCCCTCCCTCCTCTGCCTCCTCCTCCTCGTCCTCCTCACAGGGGGGCTACGGAGGCGGGGGCCTGAGTCTGAGCATCAGGGGCCCCGGCCTGATGGCCCTCAGGAACAGCCCCCAGCCGCTGAGGAGGACGGCCTCCGGGGGCCCGGGAGGTGGGGGAGGCAGTGACGGGGGCCTCAGCCGGAGCACGTCCGTCACCTCCCACATCTCCAACGGATCTCATCTGTCCTACTCATGAAACCAGCACGAGGTCCCCTCCCCACCAATACCAGAACGAGGACTTGGGGGTGGGGGGTTGTTTTCGAAGGTGCTCCTCTTCATCAAAGAGCCTCCAGAGTCATTCGAGTCTCTGGGTTTTAAACCGAGTCCAAGTGAAATCAGAACGAACCGTCGCATCAGACATCCAAGCAGGAGCTGGTTCTGAGACCCGCTGGTTCTGAGACCCGCTGTGTCTGAGACCTGCTGG